CAATACGATGAGCAGTATGATCAACCTACAGCAACCTAGCTATTAAAATAGTTCTTGAAGGTACCATGGGAAAAGGTGGATTTTAACCACAGATTTCTAGAAAGCTAGTTAAAAAAACTTTGAAGATCTATAAGCAAAACCATGTCATACAGCAGAAAGCCAAAGATTCTGGTTTGGAAACATAATAATAAATACTGTCATTCTTGGTCAGTCAGAGGCACGAATCAACTTCTCAGTAGTAAATGAGGGTGATACAAATACTGACTGTGTACAAAGGCCTTGAAAGCAAAAAAAAAAAAAAGCAGCTCCTGTTTTATGCAATAGAAAAGAGAAAGGCAAAAAAGACAGCCTGTTTCTAAATAATGTTTCTGTACCTGATACCAGGTATTTTACTTTCCACAGGGCAACATATAAAGAAATAGTAAAGCTATATCTGACATTTAAGAAGGAATGTGTCTCTCAGGCACTCACAGAAAAAAAGTGAAAATAGAAATCAAAGTATTTCTTAGAACAAGAAAAGTCATCACATGCCAACATTACAAAGTGCTTATACATGAGTCCAAACCCCTCCAGAACTTAGACCACTGTAACCCAAAGCACTTTCAGTATATAGCGACAACAACCCTTCATAAGTTAGTTTTTAAAGCTATCTTCAGAATGTGCATATTAATTATATTAATTCAGAGCTGCTTAGCATAGCAAAAAGAAAATAACTGAAATGACACATATATACCTATATAAACTTACATCCACTAATCATATGTTTATTAAGAATTCCAGATTCATTATGGATACTGAACACCCTTACATGTCAACTGTCTGAAACTATACCTATGATCATCATGTTGCTAATCAGAAGAGGCACACTGGCTCAAGAAAATAATTAAAAAAAAAAATGGAACTTACAATAAAGGAAAGGAGAAATCATATATGTAAGTGTCTGTGCTCAACTGTGAAAGTCACCACCACAGGCTGACAGATCCCATTTTGTATTTAGAATATAAAGAGTAAATTGCATTAAAAAAAACAAACAACAAACAAAAACCTTCATTTCTGATCTTCCTCCTTTTGGACATTAAACAAAATGTGCAACTATGAATAGACATTCCAGTCTTAATTCAGATGCTATGGTAGGTCTAACAAATACCATTTCTACATTTAAAACTTATAAGAACTTCATTAGAAAGGGCCCAGCCCTGTCACATCCAGAGGTTTTTTGAGGAATACTGTTCTAAAAATTTGTGCTTAATTTGATTATTAACAGTAGTTTGAGAGAAACACCCGAACTGCTACTACATCTTCAGCTACTAAAACTATGTCTCCAGCCTAATCATGGTTTTCCAAGCTGCCATACAGGTCCAATAAATTGCATTCCAACCTATTTTGTTTCAAAGCCACAATTCAAGCATTACAAATCATGTGGCTGATGGAAGATAAATCTAGGGATTGCTCTCATGTCTGTGTGTTACAGCCCATTTAGCTTTCCCTTCTGCCTGCATCTACCCTGTAACAATCATTCACGGAAGGACAGGTTACAAGTGTTTGTTTTAGATGAACAATCCAGAATAGCTTTCACATGAAAGAGGGGCTGTTCGAACAGAGCACTTAAAGAGTGGCAGCTACATACAATTAAGGATGTTCTTTACTAAGGCAATTAGGTTTTAAGTCCCAGTTTAAAAATGTTAAACTTTCCCTCTTCCCCAAGGTAATGATCAATAAATTAATAACACCAAGAACACTGGGATGGCTTTTTTTTCCTAGATTTACTAGCCTTGACAAATACATATATATGTATTTATATTCCATAACCACAAGAACGCCAAGCATTCTTTTGAAACATCACTTCCAGTAATTAAAACTAATTGTTAGCTCCACTTAAACAATAGTGTACGATACACCACATAGAATTTTACTGAGGTTTGAATGGAAAAAGTGCATGGTTTTATCCAGGCTGCTGTTCAGACAGTGTAAGAATCTGCTTGCATGTTTGCTCAAGCGCACGCTGAAGCTAAAGGGAGGTTGACCACTGACTTTAACGAGAGCACTCTCAATCCTACAATCACCCACCTTTGGAGCAGTGTAACAATACAGAAAGGAGTCTGCCAAACATTTGCAATAACCAGCATTGTCCCACATGCAATGTCATCCAGGTTCATTGCAAAATATAACAAAGGAAACAACGAAGAAGGTTCACATACGAACCAAAGGATCGCTGTTTTTCCACCTCTGCAGCTATTTACAGCATTAGACTATTCAAAAGATATTATCATGATCCTGTCTCTTTGAGGGCAGTAAATGAGTGAACCACCTCTTGATAATAGATAGCTGACTTTTTTTTTCCTGTGTGGGATTCAGAGGGGGCTTGAGAGGGAAGCTGGTGGGGGTTTTCTGGGTTTATTAATTTGTGTTTCTCTTTGGGGTTTCGGGGGGGAGGGGAAGGAGGGGTGTTGGATTATTTTTTTGTTGTTGTTGTTGGCTAGTGGGGTTGTTTTGGGGTTTTTTTTGTTGGTGGGGTTGTTTTGTTTTGTTCTCTTAACAAATAACTTAGAACCTTATTTATTCTTAGGGGAAGCACGTGTGGTGTTTTAAGTGAGGCTTTTCCCAATACACTTCAACCTCTCTCACAAGTTAAATGCATTAACTTGGTCAGCCCTGATCTGGCAGTTGGACTAGATGACTGCTGTAGGTGCCTTCCAACTAAAATTTCTCACATAGACAGAAACTTTGAAAAATGAAAAATCTATACAAAGCTGTTATGTGTCATAATAATAAAAAATAAATAAATAAAATAGAATCAGTGTGAGGTATCCCTGCTTTTAATGTGAGGTGTCCCTACTCATGGCAGCGGTGTTGGAACTAGATGATGATCTTAAGGTCCTTTCCAATCCTAACTGTTCTATGATTCTATGATAAAATCCCAAAGCAGAAAATCAAATTGAGACCCATAAATAAGTCCTTGCAAAAACACACATAAACACCCAGCTGCCCAAAAATGAAATAAAAAGTCCCTTTCACACTGCTTATGGCACCACCTAAGAGAGCTGTGTGTAAACTGATGAAAAATGTATTCCAGAGCTTCACATACACTGTAATCTGCCCTTTTGAAAATGCGTTACAAGATACTTGGGATTTTTAGTCCCACTAATTCTAACTGCTCAGGAGGGGCTGAAACAAAAAAATATCCTGTAAGATACATCAGTGCTACACAACTCATCTGACCATTTCTTTTTTTGTTTTCCTTCTCTCTCTCTCACACACAGAGCAAAAATCCAACAACACCACACAAAACCCAGCAGCTAACAGCCATGATCCACAAGTCTACACATATGTATGAAGTGAGGTTCACATGGATCTTTTTACAGGAGAAGGTTGTTAAATATGAACATCTATGACACCAAATTACACATATAAGGCATAAAATGCTGGAGACATCAATCCTTGTTATGCATTAAAATCTCAGGCTATTCATTTTACACTAGCTACCAACTTTATGCGGTTTTCTGAGGAATGTATGAATGGAGGACATTTCAGAAATCATGCCCTGAGTTAAAAGTGATCAGATCACCTCTTTGTATCGAACACCAAAAGCAAAAGATTGACTACTGTTTTTATTTCATTTTTTTCCTAAAATTTCAAAGTTGCCTGCTTTATTGGTCTTTCTGAATAAAAAACAATTTAATAAAAGTTTAATTCTTCAATCTAAATAAAAAACAGCTTTGACTGTGCTCTTAAGAGAGACTGATAAATTACAAATTGGCTGAACTAGGTATTTTCCCAATTCACAAATATGTAATACCAATTATAAACCACAAAAATCAAGAGGCTGTTCCTTCACACACAAGCAATCAATCTTATTCCTCTCAGTGAGAACACTTATATGAACAGCCACTCATGTTCATAAAGATGGAAGCCTCACAAACAACTTCAAATGTCATTAAGGTCTTCTGTGAATACAGCCCTTAGCCAAAGCTTCACACACCATCTAATGTCAAAACATACCATTCCCAGGTTTGCTGGTGGTTTCACCCTGCATTAGATGACCTATGTAGGACTCAAGACTAAAGCATAAACACTGCCTATATTCCAGCTGCTAATGCAGTAGTTTAATGCTCAATTCCCTTGGGGAGAAACGAACAAACAAAAAACACCACACTTTTCTCCCTCCCACCCATATATCTATTTGTCAAAAGAACACATAACAAAACCAAACCTGACAATTCCTTTAGCACATCTGTTATGTGAAGAGCCATTCAGTACTGCTCTGAACAGTCTTTGGTTCTGTGCAGTACAAGTTTTCTCTTTTCAGGTGACATAACTCTCTGATTGAAGGCAAAAAGCCCAGCAGAACTGAAGTAAGCATTACGTATTATAAATCACAAAACATACAACACTTGCTTCAGGACACAACTAGGATGGCTTCAGGCCAAAAGCACAGAAGCTCTCTCATGAAAAACTGGAAGAATGAATTGTATCTTTTGTAAAAATCTAAGGAAAGATTCATCCTAAACTAAAATCAGAAACCTTTTTATTTCACGTCACTGACTTGATCAGAATGCAATGACTGTTATGACAGGAAGGAACAAACTGAACCTGAGGTTACAAAATGAAAATTAGGAAATTAAGGAAACTTTGACAAATCTTGACAGTGAAAAAGTGCACTTACTGAATTTCAGGAGTTCCCAAACTTATAAATAAACAACATCACATAACAATTAGCACTGTGACTATTTGTGACACAATAGTTGTCTGAATTAATTTGAACTAATTCCAAACACTTTTGGCTGATCACTCCAGAATTCTAATTTATTAAATAGATACTCTTTACACAGGAGATCAAGTTTTATAGCAAAATAAAGGTCCTAAAAGAAAGACAGCAACTTGAAAGCAAATGGTTAAAGAATTTATTAGCAAATAAGGTGAAACATGTCTCCCAGCCTTGGCATCCAGGAGGGAGCCTCACTAGTGCCTGGATAAGCAAAGGAAAGCCTTGTACACAGACCTTGATGTCTCCCCAGTGAAGTCGTAATTGCAGTGAAGGACATGATAGAGATTTTCAAAAACAGTGTGCTGGGGAAGACAGGGGGTAGACAGAAAACAGTACAGGGTCTGAGAACAAGAAGTCCCAGATTTACATTTTCCAAAAGCCATTGACGTATGTGAAAGAAAACACAGACGATAAATTCTCATTCTCAGTGCCCATTTCAAGACATAACTTCATTAGTCCTATCAGGCCTGTCGTCCATTGTGCTCCCATTTCTACCTCCCCCAACATATGAATGATACTTTACACGTTTTCAGCAGTTTTACGAAGCAGCGTTTTTTGTGCACCCAATCTGCAGGTGCAGCAAAGACCTTGGCAAGGGGCAAACTTATTATCACTTATGAAAACAGTTACACTGTATTGTTCATACTACTTCAAGGTCTTGAGCAAAGCATAAATTCTCAAGAAAACGAAGTTATTGCAGTTCAAGAATCAGGCAGCTAACCAGGTAAGTCCTCTTATATGTAGAAATTATTTTACAGTATTTTGTAATTCCTAAACTTTTTTCTCTCTTTTTCTCTCTCTCTCTCTCTCATGCACTTGTTCGGTAATTCAAATAAGTATTTTCATAGCTTTTAAATAAAAAAACCTCTAATACTGTGCAATCCTCTGAAAACAGGATTTCAATACTGACCGTAATTTATCTTCAGGTCAGTTCTACAGAGCTGACTCTTCATTTTTCCTAAGAACTCTACATTTTCTTTAATGTATTTAAAGGTTGCAATGATGAATTTTTTACGTATTAAATACTTTTAAGTCTGTACTGAATCCTAGCATTAATGTTGGTATTCTTTAACCTCTGTTCTAACCTGCACTAGTTTTTTAACAGTCTTACAGTTCAAAAGAAAAGAGCACTGTATAAAGAATATAATGTATTTTTATTCTCCTTAATCTATACATTTATATTCCAGGTTTATTCGTGCGACAAGCGGAGATGATCGCAATCTGGCTCGTTGTTCCTTTTTCCTATGCATATACTTCTTTGAGAATTTGATCTAAAGAGGTATAGGGCATGGGAAAATGGGGCGACTGAGGTACTTCACCGTTCATTTGAAACAGCATCACCACGGCAACTATAGGAATGTATAGAGAACACAGATTTATGAAGAAATGGAAGGTTAATTTATGAAAAACTCACTTAACTGTCAAAAACTGTAAAAAGAGATACTGGTGTTATTTACCCTGATATAATGGTTGAATGTTGGTTTCATTCTAAAAATCTGGTGACATTAATAAGAATAATATTTTAAGCATTTATCCAACTACAGTATTTAATACATCTCTTGGTTTAATGTTCCATCTAAAATACAAGCACTGCTAAGAAGCTACTTCTGTATTCCTTATTCCCATAACCCTCTAATTTAAAATAATGGGAATTTTACATAAACTGCAAAAATGCAACTCTTTGGACTTATCTCAGTTACTGTGAGTAAATCTTTACTGAATTTAATATGACTCAGGTGTGTAAATGTTCTGAATGCAGATATTCTGAAGTGAGCTGTCTGCAATGTATTATTTTTTTTTAGGACTTGATCCTTTAAGATCCCAAGTAACTTTTATGTGATGCGTGCACTTACGGAGTTACAAATTCCTCTCTTGTAAAAATCAGACAGTTAACAGTAAATCTAATAATAAACATGCTGTGGTTTTTTTTTCTTCTTTCACTCACAGGTATCTTGGCAGTGGAAGCGTATAGGTTCTCTTGGCTTTTTTTTTTTTTTGTTCAGAAAAAAAGCAGTCATTAAACACACAATGTTTCTGTCAGAATACTTTTATTTACTCTAAACAGCAATGTATCACATCAATGCTGGGCAAAAATATTCCTACTATGAAACAATGTACATACTGCAAACCAAATAAGAAACTAATGTTTTAGTCACAGACTAAAACTTTGCATTGCCCTGCATTACAAATTCTAAGAAGTCATGCAAAGCTATGTGCTTAGAAAAAGCAAAAGTTGGTGCAAATCATTTTACTCAATGGCTATTGTTATACTATTCAAGCCTACATTAATATTTTAGAAGTTACTGTTTTATTTGTAATATAATAGTGTCAGAAAACTGTTCTATTTGCATGTCACTTTTTTTGTTAAATTAAAAGGCAATAAAAAAATTGCATCTACAACTGTATCTTTATTCACTGATTTCATACCAAAGCTATGGTAAAAGAGATGGAAATACGGAAACAATGCATTACTTAATTCACCTGTGAAAGAAGGGAAAGATTTTGGGTTATAAAAAAAAAAAACCAAACCAAACTCAACACATGAAATCTCGTAACTGTCATTAAATTCAAGAAAAACCTCTAGAATTATTGCACATAAAAGTGGAAAAAGCATATAAAAAAACAAACCCCCCAAAAAAACCAAAAGACAACTCCCATATAACTTACAGTTTCTCAAGTTCCAGTTTTCACACAAACATACATACATACATACATACATAAATAAATTTTTTACCTTTAATACATCTCTTGTATGACTTAGCCTACAACAATTCCCAGAGCCCTATGTATCAAGCCTACAAATGATGTTTTTTGGTGGTGGGGGTGGGTTTGGGGATTTCTTTTAAAGACACAAATATACAGTGTAAATTAAATGCTAAAGGAAAAATGTCATCTCAGCTATAACCAAAAAGAGAAGAAAACAAAGTGAGTTTGGAGTGAAATCAATAAAAATATCAGGCTGAAGATCAACCATATCAAACATGGTAATAGCAAGGCAAACAGCTACATTGAACTGAAAGAGTACAACAAGTATGTTAACAAGAGAATTTTAACATTTGGCATCTTTTTTACTGTTAACTTAAAATGTAGTGGCTTTTATAAAAATAAACTTAGAACGACCAAGTGGCTGCATGATTCTGAGTTACTGGCTGGGCTTATACCACAACAGGTACCTAAAAATCAAACATGAAATACAGCATTACATCCATCCACTATGTTATGGGAATCAATTCACTTTATTTACAAAAACTTGGGGTACCAGGTGTATATGAACTAATAAACAAGCACCTCATTGACTTAGGTTTTTTATGTTTTGGGATTTGGGAGTTGTTTTCTGATTTTAAAATCCACTGAAAAGAGCAAATCTACTTCTCACTTACTGATTACTGATTTCAGCTTTCATGTCTGAGGTCAAAATTTTGCAAACCTTAACATAACTCCAAGTATTCTCAAACTCCACATTTTTTTATTAACCCAGCACACCAGTCTTTATAAGCATAGTGATGTCTGTGTGTGTATATATATATATATATATGGAAACATGACACACAAACGATAAAACTTGGGACAGAAATTGGGAGCAGGCCTAGTAAATCTGGAGAAAGGATAGGATCATGAAGCATAGATTATCTGTAGGCTTTTCCACCTGTGTCTAGTTTGTGCTTAATTTCTCAAACACAGATCACACCCCTATGCTTAAACACCTTCCTGAACAAGACTGAAGGGAGAATAAAAGACACGGTGCAGGTGGAGACCCTTCCCTTTTTTATTTTGGTGGCACAGAGTAAGATACAAACTAATTATCACAAAAAAAAAAAAAAAAGTATTTTAAGTGTGAGCTGTAAACTTAGGAGGCAAGGACAGAAGGATTCCACTCTGTATGTCCTAAATAGAAAGGCAGAACCCTAGCTAAAAACATCTTTTTCACCTCCTGAAAATATTGGGTTAACATGTACTAACAAAACAGTATCATGAAAATAACATACAAAGGTACATGCAACATTACTGAATAGTAAATACTCAGTGGAGTAAAATGAAGGGCTGGAAAAATGCAAAGAACATACCAATACAAGGAAAATCAGTATTAAGGATTTTACTGTTCAACAACTGTATTGCAATTTGTACCACTGCCAGAGTTAAATGGGCAGTGAAAGCTTTAACAAAATTCCCTTTCACAGATATACTCTTCTGGTTCATTCTGTTGGACATTTCTCATATGCTAAGAAATGGGGAAAAAAAAATGGGACATGGGATACGGATAAGTATGAACTTACCTCTATCTGCAGATAAGAAAGCAAAAAATGTCCATTAAAATATAATTAAATAAATCTTGTCAGGTATGAAGCAAGACAGTCATGAACACTGACACTATACCAGTTGCACAAAGAGAGAAGCACCAAGCTGGCAAAGACTGGTGATTACTGTTCTAAAGCACTGCAAATCTAATATAAGGAGAAATCAACCAAAATTCACTAGCTTAGGGTTTTAAAGTAATTTCATGACCAATTTCTCTCCTCAGAGATAGGGTCTTTTCCTTTCTATCAGCAGAAGCATGAGTAGAACATTATAATTCTGTAAGAAAATAAAAATAAAATAAAATAAAAAACAGAAAAAAGGTTTGGTTTCATTAGAACAAACACCAGCATTTTGCATTACAATGACTGGAGTGTATCATGTCACACTCCACATGCTGGAAAATTGCTCCTCTGTATTCAGGTAAGGGAAGCAGATTTTTCCCTTTTGGATTTTTTTTGCCTCTGTATCTCATCTGAACCAAGATGTGTTTCAAGATTCTATATTGTACTGATTTTGAACTAGATAATTGGTGTATATTTTATGCACAAATTGGTAACATCAGCTTGTATTTATATGTGATACTTCAAGGTAATTTAAAACACTGAGAGGTCTCAGTCATGCAGGTAGATGTACAAGCTGGGAACAGTTTAAAATTTAAAACTATTTATAAATAGGAATAAAAATACAATTAATCTAAGTTACAATGCCTACACTTTAAAAAATTGCTGGCCAACTAAAACTTCCTGTTTGCTATGGTGTTTCGTTCTGTGTTACCTTACAGCTTAAAAGCAGTGAAAAGGATAGAAGGGGTGATACCTCAATTCCCTTTTACCTGCCTTGATAATCTCTTCCTGAATTTGCACTGCCTATGACAGTTTTCAAACTCTTACATATGTGACTAACTTTGTAGTGCAAAGGTTAAACAAAAAAAAAAAAAAAACAAAACAAAAAACCCAAGAATAAAGCACCACAGAAAACCACAAGAAGCACACAAACCCCCAAACCAGATCCACGGTTTTCTGTTATAATAGTGGGTTATGCATGAATAAGACTCCCTCTAATACAGGAATCTAAAACGTGTTAGTCCTAGCAAGATTTAAGGAGCAGGAGTGTGCAACCAGAAGCTCAAAAGGTAAGTGCAACAGCATTGTAAGCTATTAGGTAAGGTCACTTGGAGTTGTGGAACAGTTCTCTAGGGAACACAAATAGTTCAGACAAATCAAACTGAAGCAGAAACTAGATTTTCCAAAGAACTGCTGCAAGAGAAATTCAATGGTGCCAATAACACCAATTCAAAACAAGTCTCTGGGGTCTGACAGAACTCTCAAGTAATCCTGTCAAGTTTTGGGCTGCAGCCTGCAGCTGTTTAGTATATTTTGCTACTTCAATATAATTTTTTTCTTAATCATTTCTTCTTTATTTTACACTTTGGGAGATACTGATAAACATAAGCATTTCAAAATATAAAAAACAAACCAACAAAAGCCCTCTCAGAAGTCAGGTTACATTAATTTCATTGCAGCTTTTCATTATCACTGCAAGCAATAGACTTACAAGGCAAAAGGAACAATGTTTGAAGAGGTTTTTCCCCTCCATATTTGGTAACAATGTTGTTGTGACCAGCATTAAGCAATTCCCATGACTCCCTATTCCTACTTCTGCCTCACTGTATCTGAGCTTTAAACAGATCACACAACCAACCTGACTAAGGAAGAAAAAAGGCAGACATAAAATTCTACTTCCCCCTTCCCAGTGGAACTAGTTCTCTGATCTGATTCATTTTGCACCTGCAAAACCAGCTGCATCAGCGTAATGAAGGAAGAGAAACAGAAGTTGCTTAAATTGGAAGGACACTTACAAACATCTTTGGAATCGTAGTTTGAGGAAAAAATGTTTATATTTTCTCTGTACTTACTTTCTCCAACTCACAAACAGCCATGACAAATTTAGCTTAGAGAGAAGAGACAACACTTACCTAGTGGGAAATAATGTTCATGTCCCCCTTTTTCAAAGACTCACTGACACGTGTAAATCTAACTACTCTGTAACGCTACCTGTCAGCACTGTCATAACTGACAGTGGGAAAGCAATAAGCAGTCATGGTCTGTACATCCAAACAAACAAACAAAAAAAACCCCTAATACAGCAGCAACATACTATACCACGAGCGTTTAGATTCATTTTTAATTGAAACTAAAGCCAAGTCTTCAAATTCATGTTCCAGCATCTACAAAAGCTTTTTTCTTTTTGCAGATGCCAAGAGGTCAGTTTTATTACTAAACATGAAAAAGAAAGCTACAGTTTTATATGAAGATTTGAGCACATGAAACACCTCACTAATGCTGAAAAAGAACAGTCCCTCATACCTTCCACCAAAGACATCCAAAAAGGAGGAAAATTGTAGGTCTCAGAGTTAAAAAAAAAAAAAAAACAAAAAAAACACCAAAAACAAACCACCACACACAAAAATACCACAAACACACAAAACCACCAACACAAAAAAAATTATAATCTTCAGGTATTTTTCTGTTAACTTTGGGGTGTGGGTTTTTTTCCACTGAAGAATGGCAGTTTAATAACTTACACACCACACACGTATGCTTGGGGGGGAAGAGCAGGCCAGAGAAGAAGGGAGCCTGACTTGATACCTGCCCTAAAAGAGCTCAGTTCGCGATTAATCTGGAGGAGGTTTTGGTTAATTAGTCGGGCTTTTACTATATCAAACAAATGCTACAGCAATTTAATTAATGAGTTCTAATTCTTCCAGCTTTTAATATATAGCATAGAAGTATTGGTTGTGTAGCTGTTCTTTTTCTCGTGAAAATTGTTCCCATTTTTAACAAGTCCTAAGTGTACACACGCGAAAATGCCAACCCAAACAGATTTCACAGGCACTCCAGAGAGGACCTGTTGAATTTCAGCGTTCTCCAAAACCTTTCCTTCAGCTGTAAGCACGCTTCTGCCCCGGGCAGCGAAGAGCGGAAAGGCTGGAGGGAATGCCCCCACGGTTCCCCCGGCTGCGCGCTAGGCAGAACTAGCTTCTCCCGCGGTCTCAGCGCTCCCCCTGCTGACACTTCCACGGTAAACCCGGGGAGAAGGAAGCTGCTGTAATCGGAGGTGGAGAGGATAGTAAGAAACGGTGTGTCAAACGGAAGGACACTGTTCACAAAAGCACGGATGAAGGGAAGAAAGGTCTGGATGTTTATGAAACATATGAGTAGACAAGAGCCATTGCTGGGAGGAAAGAATTTTGGGCCTTCAGTGTTTTTTCCTATTCTCTTCTGTTTCTGCAAGTCACCTGTTTCTATAATACAACACAGTCTAGAATTTGGGATTACAGCTCTTATTAATGTCAGCAAACTTTATTTCTAATTATTCATGACAGTGAGCTTTTACACAAGTCCACATTGGGGGGGGTTTTGTTTTGGTTTGAGGGGTTTTTTTAATAAAAAATATTTATAAATATTAAGCAACTTACTAGGAGCTGAGAAATTAAAACATACTGGGATAATTCATACAATCTCAATTCTACTTCATAAAACACATGCTACAATGCAGTCTGAACTCAGTGCTTTCAGTCTTATAAATTATTGCCTTTTTTTTTTTTTTTACCATAGGAGTCCTACTTCATTCTTCAGGACCAAAGCCTTCTCAGTTGTAAATATGAGAAAGTACAAATTAAGTGAAGAAAGGAAAGCAGGAAGTGAAAAGAAATATCTTAAAATGAAGAAAAATTGTTTGATATATCATCAGTCTATTTCTTCCATCTGGGACAGTTTTCCTATAAGATGGGCCAAAGCTTTTTAAACAAATATCCTTTTTTTTTCTTATCTTTTGTGTCTTACAATGTGCAAGGAGATTAAATTAAAATTAAGTACTATTTGAATTCTAAAATATTATTGGTTTCCATTAAAAATATTTTTCCCATTACCATATGATATGCTTCACTGGCAGAAGGAACCTGAGCAGTAACAGACTACTCCTTTACTGGGGGGCAATGCACTATTAAAATTCAACTGTCAGCCAGCCGTTGCTGAATCAAATGTGGAAGGAAGAGCATGAGATCAGCCCATTAGACGTTCTGCTTCGAGTACTGCAAAGTGCCACTAGGTGACGTAATCCAGCACCACCATATGAGGCGTTGCACCCGTACAAGCCAGCAACATTCTATTCAGTAAAAGTAATAGAGCAAGGAGCAGAGGGCATGCTACAGAGTCAAACTGACATAATCAAAACATCTAGAAAGGCTGGCAAAGAGGAAGCCACGAGAGTAAAGTTGTATTCAAAAATCATTTATTTATGAGTGAATTTATGCAACTGTTTATGTGTGCCTCCACATTGCTCCAGTTCTTGCTTTAGTGTATCTGGAGAACGTGAGTAATTATACTGACCCACTGACTGTAAAGTCTTTGGCATTTATTTATATAAAGAAACAAAACTATCCATAGTGAAAAGGAATCCTCCTGCTTCTTTTCCCTTCCATGCTTCACGCATTCTTCTGTGAAAGCTACAGAGTTTATCCAGCTCTTCAGTAAGTGGGTTTTTAACGCTTCTAGCTGCAAAAAGCCATGTGCCTTTCTTTTTTCCTTTTTTCTCCTGGCTTAGAAACCTAAAATAGACTCCCTGATAGATCAGAGGGCTACCTAAAGTCAGTTCATGTGTGGAAAACATGCCCCAAAACAGAGAGGAGCAATGGAACAACTCCATTCAACAACAGTTCTGGTTATTTCTAATCAACCCATTTTGTTTAATTAGGTGTGTCCTTTGTATGAGGTGGAAATTAACATGACACATAACACATGATGAATGCCCTTAATATTTGTTCAAATGATTGAATTAATCTGTCTCCAGTGTTTTTCATTGCTAGCAAACTGACAAATCCTAGTACAGCTTCTATGCATTAATATTTTCCATAATTTCCTGCAAAGCAATAATCATTTTCATGGTGTTGACTATCTTCACAACCGATGCAATGACTAAGAGCATATAAATTAAGAGACACTCCATAAAGTTATTTCAACAAGAGACTTGGACAAAATAAAACATAGTTGTATGTGATATCAAGCATTTTCACTGAGATCTCAGTCAAGAAATGTTATCATTAAATGACAGCAGTAAAATGCGAGTCATATACATGTCCACTACATTTCTCTAGCCTACTATTTACATTCAAAATTTTGGTCATATTGGTTTTTTAATTCCATGTGCTCATAGAAAGCGCTAATAATCAGTGGAAGATGGAATGTTTCATCACAGGACCTGCAGATTGTTAGTTGATAACTAGAAACACTCGACAATTACCCTTTAAATTGCAATTGCTCTCATGTGATGGTCACTTATGGCATTACAATCACTCCATCAAAGCCTTTTGAATGAGACTTTGCCTCAAGCCATGTTCTCTATCTTAGGCAAATCATCTTAATAACAGTCAGTGCATGAACATTAGCATTTAAAAATGTAATTCACTTTAAGCATATGTTTTCTTGTGTTTAGCACCTTCATACCCATTGACACTTTAATTTTGAGCTCCCCTTTTTAATTTTGTTCTAACATTACAGGGTTGAGTTGCCTGTCTGGCAAAAATGAAGTTTGTTGTTATGAATTAGGACAGCCCATTCTCACAAAGAAAAAAAAAAAAAATCAAAACCCAACCCACAACCTCAAGCAGACACACACAAAATACCCAAACCACCAAATTTAAATATCAACTGAAGGAAACAGAAGGAACTTGCAGAAAAAGCAATGATAAATAGTATTAGAAGCCTTTAAAAGCAAAATACATATTGAGTTTCTAACATAGGAGAACGCTACACACCTTTTATAGTGCAGTCACACACCAGCACAAGAAAGTTTAATCATTATGTCACCTACTTCTTAGAAGAAATGGACCAGTACTTAAAACATGGGCAGCCACCAGAGCTACTTTAATTTTCTGTCTGCACATGGTTTTCTGCTAACAGTTGCACCAACACAAAAATGTTGTTGTCAATACATTTTATTTTACCTAAGAAGCATCAAAAGTCCTTAATGGTATGTCTGTGTTGTTTACAATTATAGATCAAAACTACTAGCACTGGTTTTAAAGTATTAATGTTAATGCAAAAATATCCTCAGCAGAAAAAATTCTCAGAGTAATTCTGACTCAAATCTATGCAAGTTATCACCAACAGATACAGCAAAGGAGATTCCCCACCAGCACCACCTTTTAAAAATAAAGTCTAAGAATTAACATGTCACAAACACCTTCAGCTCTGTGTGAAATCTAGTTCATTATCTGCGACTGTATAAACTCAAGCAGTAGTGACTCTTTACCGAAACAATCTGTAAATGTGTTAGCCTATGCTTGCGGAGGATAAGGACTGTGCCATCCCAGGCCCACTTCAGGCCGTAAAAGTGGGTCTTTTCTCACCCTTATCTGAATCATCTTTGAACAGACTGCCTCTGAACAGAGTTTACACTCCTCTTCTTTGATCTACTTTATAAGAACATCAGAACTGTTTACTTTGAAATGCACACATTTCTTTCTTGGGGTGTAGAGGAAGGAGATAAGTGTTTTAAGACTTGAACAGGTATTTTCTCAGTGTTTCTGATTCTGATCAATAGCCTGAAATATAAGTGCGTATTACTTAATCTCATCCTTAAATAAATTAATAAGAATTAACTTATTCTACTACCTTTTAGATAAGTCAAAACTTCCCACCCTACTTTCTGCTAATGATCTAACAAATTGCAGGTTAACACTACTGTGATCTGGTTTCAAACGTTCTCTCCTGGAATACTTCGTTAAGTTTCTGATACTACTGAATTCAACAGCGGTACCTCCAGCTTCGAAAGAAGATAAAGAGTCCTAATTGCAGCACTCTGCCTCACGGACAGCACTGAAAAAATATTTAACTTTGCATTTCCAACTAATTACTAATTCAAACAACATTTACACACCTTGACTTTGTAAAGAGTGATGTGTTACTCATAGACATATTGGGAAGATAGTAGAATCAATGTTTTTCCACAATTTACCTGTTTGCAAGCTCGAGAACTACCTGTTCTTACTTTGAGTCACTCCTTTGCCGATAGAAAGGCAGCAGGATTATTCCAAACTTTGCACCAAACAGGCAAAAGGGGCTCCAGCTTTGAGTTTAAATCTCATAAAAGGGGCCTCCCTATATCCTCCTTTGTTACCAGTCTCAATCCTTGTCCTTTATACTGGGAGATAAAGATAGAAAATCACGGCGTGATTCGAGAGTCGAGGCCAGCTTGGGCAGCATAAAAAGCACTGGCCATGATGCAATTACCAGGAGCTACGTGGTCAAGAGACCACTCAACTGAACTTGGCGCCAGGTCAGGTAGCCTTGAGTTTTGCTAACTGCTGCGTTTAGAGATTAGGCGGATGTAACAATCACCTGAAAAGGGAGATTAAAGCACCTCTCAATGAAGTCCTTTGTCCTCTGTCTCGATGCTTTGCGGCCTTTTCAAAAAACACGTCGCGGAAGGTGCTTTAAATGTTTGCCCCCAGAGCTGGGACGGCCTCAGTGAGCGGGGACCGGCAGCAGCGGGGGAGATGGAGAAGAGGCCTTTCTCGGTGGAGTGGCTGGCCCAGAGCAACCGCGGCGGAGCCCGGCCCACAGTTGCAGGTCCCTGCTCCCCGACCAAGGACATCGGCGGCCGAGAGACCTCAGCCAACTGCGGTGAGTCGCTCTGAGGGACCGTTGGTAGCGGCCGTTGGGCTAACTAACGGTCGCCTCTCGTGATGCCGTCGGAGGACAGCAGCCGCACGTGCGGCCGCTGCCTACGTCTTCCCCTCCCCACCTCACCACCCCCGTCGCCCTGACGTCCGATCGTGTCCCCGTAGCAGCGAGCTACGCGGACCGCAGCAGCCCCGGGCGCGAAGCGGAGGCCGGGGCAGGGACCGGGCGGACCCGCACAAAGTTCTCGGCCGCTCAGCTGCAGGAGCTGGAGCGGAGCTTCCGCGAGCAGCACTATATCGGATCCGGCGAGAAGAAGCGGCTGGCAGCCGAACTGAACCTCTCCCAGAACCAGGTGAGCTCCCCTCTGCTTCCGCCCGAGGGCACACGGGCCCAGAACCCCTTCTGAAAGCTGCGGGAGAGGAAAGGCATCTCGGCCCCTGCTTGCCTTGGCGGGCACCTCATTAACCTCTGGGGGGGGACGGAGACAGTGACGGCTCCCGCAAGTGCGGTTAGGCCAGGCCGCTGGCCAGCCCTACCCCTCTGGCAAAGAACCAGCTCGATCGAGCTTACGCCCCTGCTTGAGCTGTGTCCACTCTGCATATTTTGTGTTAAGCCCGAGACAATACACAAATGAGCAGTGAATACTTAAAGGATACTTTTAAGTAAAAACTTAAAAAAAATAAAACCTCATAAGAGGTAAAAAAAACACTGTGCAACTGAGTAATTGGCTTGCCATGTGTCACAGAGTTTGTCACATCTTGATTCCTCCGTATGCCCAGACAATTGCTCTACTGAATACAGATCAGTGTTATTAGCCCTGACTCTTATAACTGTTAATATATTCTGTCACTCTGATAGACTCTGATAGTCTGATTTCAGGATGTATTACTATATGGAAAAGGGACAAATGGCTTGTTTTCCAATTTTAACTTTTTTTTTCCCTCAGATCAAGTCCTGGTTCCAGAATCGTCGTATGAAGTTAAGACGTCAGACTCAAGAAGCCAGACTGGAAGCTCTTTTCTCAGGCTTGTTTTTGCCATATCGCCATTACCCAGATCTTGCTACATCCAACTGTTCTCATGAGACAGATGTCAACATCTCTTCTACCTCCAGTTTCCCTTCACCCAGCTATGCCAAGCCCTGCCTTGTTACCTTCTGTTGGCAGCTCAGTCTCTTCACCCGGTTTTGCCAAGTCTGGCATTACTGTTGCCTTCCAGCCCAGGATTATCTCGTTACTCCTGCAATTCCAGCAATGACTCCGATGACCATAAAAGACTGAGGTTCCAGCCATACCTTCCTTCCTGTTAAAAATACCAAAGATTACCTGTGGTCTAAATTAGAGCTGCCAAATATCTCTAAGAATAATTATTTAACTTATTTTGTTATATTAAATAGCTTGTTGATTCAATTTAATGTTTTAATCAAATGTTGGTTTATGTTAAAGGAGAAAGGATTTGTACTGAAGAAGAGTAGGACTTGAAACTTTTTATTCCTACAATCTTCACTATGCTGCATTGAAATGTCTAAAATTTTCCTATCCAAAAGGAATTCAGTATAAACATTCTATATGATGTTCTATATTATATAATATTCTATATAATAAATTCTATAGAAATATTCTTATCCTATAATCATGTGGGGAGCCCCACAGAAGAAAATGGTGTACTGTTTACACTTCAGTTTACATACTAATCGTGTAACAGATGAGTGTTAAAAACTTTGGCCCTTCAACTTGTGTGGTGTTTTAGAGAAAGATTTGTAAACTATAGCAAACAAATTGAAATTAAAATGCTACCAAAGGTGGCATCCCTAAGAACAAAGCTGAACAATTTTTTTTCCAGCATTCTCTTTTATCTGTATATTCTCCAAAAATCTAAAGTTGTCTCCCATGTTTGTCCATTTATGCATTTAAAGAGAAGCGAGGCAAAGGAATTAATTGGCAAGAACATATTTTGATGCTAATGTCAAACATACACATAATTTAAATCTGCTGATGAAAGTACTGGAGTTATTCACAATTTCAGGTCTCTTGAAACATTCAAAATGAGATTGGTTTGATTTTACTTCTAAAGCTTCAGCTGTAGCTTGACAGCCTCACTAGTTTTAAACTGCAGCATTCCTTTAGGACTGTTCCTACAATTCCCAAAGCAAGCTTTATGAAAAATAGCAAAGTTAAGCCTTCAGGGAATAATGAGAAACAAGAGATCTGCATCAGTATAAAACAACTGCAGCAGGTGTGATTACATCTTCCCTGCACCATTACCGTTGTAATCTGTTTATCAGGTGATGGTTAGACTACTTTGCAATTGTCAGAGAAAAATAAGACAACCCACACAGTACAACAAAAAATGTTGATAAGCAGGGCCTACAACAGCTGTGTGCCTTTCCATTAACTGTTGTGGAGCTAAAGAGGACAAAGCTGAAATAGTCTTTGATAGACATCAGAGATATTGAGGTGCACGAGGGGATATCAACAAGTTTCATCCAAATTCCTGCCTCCCGTGTCTCATCTCCTGTCCAAGTATAACCTCTGATGAAAAGGAAATCCCTGAACATGCCACGGTGAGGTTTTCTCTGAACCCACTCTCAAGCACTCCAACCTTTCCTATCCAGGGGGAGGGTAAGAGACACCTGAGGGGATTTTCCACACCACACAGCCCCTCAGTGCCACATTAAGACAACACCACTCCAAGATCCTGATGCTGAAGGGACATGTTCGTTTCTCACCCCCCTGAACAGACTGTAAGATGTAGGGAAGAGGCACTTCCTTTCCCCCAGCGACCAGAAAGTTTTCTTCCAGCATGTCAACCTGGATCCTCTTGGTGTTTACTGTACCTGGTTTGCAATAGCATCATCAGAGAAAATTCTCCTTACCACTTTCAAGCTGTCCTTTCACAAGTGAGAAGCTTGTTAAAGGCTGTTAAATCGAAACTCTTAATGGCTCCCTGGATTGGAGACTGAAGAAGGAAAGTTTAGACTACAATGCAGCAATCAATCAACTTAGTTTCTAATGCATTTAAGGAGACCTCTGAGGCGAATTAAAGAAACTTTATTAAAGTGTAATAGATTAAAAGAAATAAGTGCTAAGCAAGCTCTTTCAAGAGAGGAGAAATAACAGATCTCAGGAAGAACAAAAATCTAACAGAGTTCAGGATTGTCAAAACACAAATTTGAACAAGTCACTTTAAATGTTTCTTCCAAAGGATTCAATTTACTTAAAATGAAATAATTTTTAAAAATGCAGTTATCAGCAGTTACCATGGGCAGTGGTGAAAAATCCCGTTAATCAATATGGCTATGGACCAGTACCATTGAGCTTTAATACAAAGCAATGCATTGATTAATATCCAGAAAAGAAACTCACCAGCAATTTATCCTTCCTTCTGGAGGATGCACTCAGCCAAAGGCACAATGTGATGCAACTGTTAAGGTCCAGGTTCCCAAACACACCAACAGACAGACTACACCTCAGTGTCCTAGGTTCAGATGTGGTCTTAAGCTGCAACACTCAGCATGAGCATCAGTCAGGCAAGATGTATTAAAACATATAAATCGTTATCCATTACCCAAACTGAAGTTCAGATGACCATGGTCATTTACAGTGTACGAGTGCAGCCTATATAAAGTTGACACATATAACTGTTCAGATTTTATTTATATGCAATGAAAACTGTTCTTTTAACATATGCATCCAGACTAAATAACTTTGCCCTTCACCATGGAAAATTTTGCAAAAGCGACTTCTGCTATTGCTTTTCACCATCCAGTTCCCTGGACTACAACGGACTACCAACACTTAAAAAAATAATAGCCTGTCAAATAAAAAATACTAAGAGTGGCATCACATCCAATAGATTTTAATATCATTTAGTACAAATATAATATTATTTGTTCTCACATTTAACTTAAAATAATAAATGTACTCTTCCAAATCAGACGTGAGGTTTTGAGCACACTAGACATCACAGCACTTTTCTCCTTTGCCTGCCCCTTTTCATTTTCACTATAATGCATATACAGGATTACATTGTTTGTCCATTTTGTTCTGAAAAACTGGATGGAAGGAAGGATGAGGGAGAAAGTGTCGATGGTAGCAGGGCAGCTCATTTGCCATGAAGTGGTAGGTACTTTGTGATGCATCATATCTGGGAAAGGGGAAGCCGAACTGCACAGCAGGTACCGTGGCAAAAGGCAAGAGTCTCTGGTGCTGAGCAGCAAAGGGGTAGAGGAACCCATCCTGGAACAGAGCCGGGGAGGTGCCCGGGGGGAAGCTGTACAGTGGAGCAGGAGCCAAGAGGCTGTGCTGGTTGTCCTGTATCTGCCTCTTCAGCTTCATCCTCCTGTTCTGAAACCAGGTCTTGATCTGAGCAACGATAAGAGCAGGGTGGAGGGTGAAGGAGACAAATCAGGGACTTTGCTTAAAAGTAATATGCACACTATGAACAATTGTAGCTCAGCTGCTTCTGCCATTTTTTTTCCTACTTTTAGCTGACAAAGGTGGACTTTCACCCTAGTTGACAGAAGGCAGAGGATCTGGGGGCTGTAGAAAGGAAGAGTGACTGTGTTCAAGTTCAGATTAATCACTCTGAGTCTTTAAGACCATATACAAGGTTCGCAAGGTCTGCACAGATCGCTGCACATCGAGGACAAGCAGCTTATCTTACTAAGAAAGAAAGGAACCTCGGTACCTTCTCTTTAGAAAGTGTCCCCAAATTCCAGACTGTTAACTCGTTAATACCCGGCCCACAGGCCCTCATAAATCCAGCTGAAGACAGCTACGTCTGTTCAGGGGAAGGAAGGCCGAAACAAGACTGACGAGCCCGAAATCGGAATCCGCTTCCCCTGGAACCCACCTGAATCTCCGAGAGCTGCAAGGCAGCCGCTAGCTTCCTCCGCTCCGAGGCCCCCAGGTACTTCTGGCGCTGGAAGGTCTTCTCCAGACGGCAGACCTGGTCCGAGGTGAAGGCGGTCCGCGCCCGCCGCTGCCGCCCGCAGCTCTCCCCCTCAGCCGCCGCAGCCGCGCGCTCCCCTCCTGCGCTCTCGCTTTCGTAGCCCGAGGACTCGTCGGCGCTCAGCCAGCCGCTGTCGGGGGCTGCAAACGAGGGAGAAAGGGGCAGCGGTGAGGCCTTTTTCCCGGCTGGGGAGAGTGCCTCCGCCTCCCTTCGTCTGACAAGCCGTTGCACCGATGGGAGCCAGGGTCCCGTGTGCCGCAACCCACAGGCCCCCCGCCCCACCCTTCTTCTTCCTCCCTGTCCGTTCTCACCTACCTGGCTCCGACGGGCACGCGTCGGTAGGCTCCCGGGGACTGTCTCGGCCGGGCTCGGCTGCGCAATGCTTGCTGTCCTCCGGCTGGCTCGGCTGCGGCCCGCCCCGTCGGGGCTCGGCTCTGACCACGAGTGGGGTACTGCCGAGGGAAGTGGGGGGACGTGGAGGAGGTGCGCAGCAGATGTGAGGCCTGACCCCTTGGGGCTTGATCTCAGCCGAAGGGAGCTGGGCCTGGCTCATGGTGAGAGGAGCTAGGGGACCTACGAGCTCGGCGCGCTCATATATGTGCGCTCCGGTCCCGGGCGGGCTCGTTTGCAAGTGTGAGAGCACATCAAAGTGGGAATCTAGCCGAGATTACAGCTGCCAGCATGGAGGAAACTTCACACGTCTGGCAAATGTCTACAGCCCCTGGCTCCAGCGTGTCTGAGGGGCCAGGGAGACCCCCTTGAAGTGCAAACCTGCTCCTCTCCCCCGGGCGGGCTCGGCATTGGCAAGCCCAGCCCCGCAAACGACGTTTAAAGATGCCGATGGTGGCTGTAACAGCTCCGTTTTACCCACTTCCTTTTCAGCCATGGGATCCCGTATTACGCAGGTACCCAAAACCAGGCCGAGACGGGCAGGACTAGCCCCTTCCGTCGGAGCTCGGGGCGAGGGCAGGGCAGGGGTAAGGGTGAGGGGTAAGGTAGCGCTGTCAGTGCCTGCCAGACCCGGGCATTGCACCTCGAGGGGAGCTGCGGAGACCGGCGTTCCTGGGAAAAGCAGTGGGGGGCCGCTACCAGGAAGTCCCTATCCCCCAGGCTGAGGCCTCACTCCCGAGAATCGCGGCAGAGTTAGGGGGGTTAGTAGAGCCTCGGGACCTCTCAGCTTGAACTTGGCGCCGTCTGTCTAGCCAGAAAACGCAACCATCCCTCGAAGAGCTCAGCGATCAAAGTGTAAGTGAGCACCGAAGCTCGCACTTCATCAGCTACAAACTATCCAAATCCACACGTCGCTTCCCGAGAAGGATGGTGTCCTGGTAATGCAGCGAGGACACCAGGACACACCCTCCCTCACTCCACCCACCCTCCGCAAAGCCGTGGGAAAGTCGGGGGAAGACCGGATGGGAAAAGGGGCATCCCTGCCTCTCAGCCTGTCTCCGGGCCCTTCTTGTGTCCGACTTCTACCCGGCTTTTAGCCACTCCGTCTAAAAAGTCCGCACAGACCACAACCCCTCTGGCAGCAGCGGTACTGTGATAACACACTCTTCCTAAAGATCAGGGGAAGTGACTGCCATTGCTGTAACTGAGTAAAAGCACAGATTTCCACTGAACTCCTAAGGGTTTCCGCTGAGATGCACAACTAAAAGGAGTGGGCATCATGCAGTTGGGCCTAACAGGGCAGGAGCTTGTTTCTTTCTAAGAACACAGCAATAACCTAGATTCTTACACTTAAAAGTAGATGCGAGTTTAATTTTTGTAATAAAGTCAACCATGCTAATCAATCCAACTCACCCCAAAACTGCACTGATCTTAAATAGATATGGGGAAAAAATTGTATTCGTGGTATCCATTTTTATTGTTTCAAGTGTTCCCTTAACTCCAGGGCTGCGGGAATGGACAGTGCGTTATTGACACACACACACACCCCCCCGCGCCCTCGAAGACCCTACTGTTTATCCCAGCTCTGGCCCCAGGGAACCATAAAGCCCAGGTACTAAGAGCAATGCAAGCGCCTTACCAAGCCCACCGAGCCCAGGAGCTGGATTCTTCCTGGAGCTTTGCTTGTGATAACAGCCCCTAAGGGCAGGGATACGTCAGGCTGTGCTTGCCTCGATACTGCTCTTTGGGGTGCTGGGCACAGCCACTAAAGGAATTTCACTTAGTGCTAGCACAAGGCTGTAATTTTGTCTGATAGGCACAAGTCAGTACAAATTCCCAAGCAGATGAACACTGAGCTGGACACCAGACTCCTTCCCTGGCTTGAAACACATACCTGTGAGTGGCAATGACCCAGGCAAAACCACCATAGTGGTTCTGTCACTTTGTAGACGCAGTTCAGTCAATCAGGGATAGGTCACATGCTACTCCCCAAAAGAGCTGTGCTTGCATATTTGTTTTAATAGCTTCTGGATGTAATAACTATTGCTAAACTATTCCACCTGTGCATGGTACCTCTTGTTCTGGAGCAAATGCACCACTGTACTCACTGTCTCCATCTTATTTCAGAACAGCAATTCCTTTAATAACTCCATGTGAGGAAAATCCAAACAGAGAAACTCAGACTCCACCACATATAAACTTACACACAGTGAGATGTCCCTTGCAATGCATCATATACTGCCTGCAGACCCTAGTTCCCTTCTAAAACTAAATTTGGAGGTAGTACCTGACCACCACCGAGATTCAGAAACTCTTAAACTGAGCACACACTTATCTAGCAAGCAGGACGCCCCTCCATCAGTACTCCAGCAGATGAAATCTATGCTAAACCAGGCAGTCCTGAATCCCCTGTGCCCTGCAGTCCCCCGACCCAGGCACACAGTGACGCCAAGGAACCATCTAGGGAGAGGCACTTGAACCCTGTTGCCAAGATTAAACCAGGCTTGAGATGACCATTCAGTGCTCTGCCCAAAGAGACCAATATGCATATTAACATTTATACATTATGTGTCTGAGAGAAGGAAAGTGTCAGTACACCTGAAAAGCTGCATAGTACCTACCATTTCCCTTCTCATTAGACTAAGGATGCATGGAAGCAGCTGACCTGTCCCACTGTCTTTTTTAAGTAGAATCCAACATTAACTGCTTTTTGAATAAGGTCTTTATACCCAACCCTCAGAATACCCCTTATCCCCGGATGAAATCTGTGGCTGTGTATCTGTGGACCACAAAACCCCGGAACAGATGGGGAAAGGATGGGAGGTGTTATGTGGCTGTTGTAGCTCCCATCAGAAAGTAGTGTCAGCTTGAGAAACTTGAAAACTTTGATGATCCTGGGTAGACAAAGGCTCTGCAACTGGAGTTAAAACCTCACAGAAATATAGTGCTTATAGGAGACAAAATTTACTTCTATTCAATTATTTTGTATTACTTAAAGCTTCTGTAACATATGATTGATAGATTTTTTTATTTTTTAATCATGGGTATACAAGTTTTTAGGGAAGAATGTAGAATTCTGTGTACCCAGAACCTAGGGATACTTTATTATCTCAGAATAAACATCTATTTTTCTTACACAATTTGCATTAAGAACATAGTAGCCCTGTTTCTCCAAATCATAGATCAAAATACTTATTGTTCTGCACTTGCATATAGGCCTTACAACGAGAAGAAATATGCTTGCTTCAAGAAATTTACTAATAACTTATGTGCATTTGTAAGTCAGTATAATACCCTGAAATTTAGTTGCAGTGGTTAATGCTGTGAGAATTACATTTAAGACCATTAGAACAAAGTGCTCTTTCTATGTGAAATCTACAGGACCTCTAGGGGCAAATGATAGATTTATCTCCCTGGTGCACCATTGGAATATTTCTTTGGAGTCTTTGTGCACACACACAAAATATAAGCCCATAAGAGCAGGCAGGACTGTAGCAGTTCTACATGCATGGGTTTGTTGCTGGGGAGAAGGCTCACCCGGCTATCTAGGCTGTAGTGTTTTCCTACACCAGTTATTAGAAGCTCACCATTTATTAGAAGCTTAAGTGCTTGTACTCCCCAAGAGCTCTGTTGGTGTGCCAAGTCCTTCAACATACCATCACACCTAGTTGTGTGACAGCATAAGTAAAAATAGCCACAAGCAGGAAGACATAAGAGATACCCTTCTCAAAAAAAAAAAAAAAAAAAAAAGTAATTTCAGGCATAATCGGGCAAATCTTCAGATTCCAACCTTCCTTCTAGGAGCCATGTCTGAAAATATTCCATAAAAAAAAAAAAAAAGGTACTGAGCAAACTATCATAACATTTGTCATAGATGAAGAGCTGATGTACCAAATCACCATCACCAGACCAGGGACCTGTTGGGCTACCAAGGTTTTTGGCTCCAGCATAGGCAGATCTCATTTGTTTTTTTCTGACACCAGCCCCCCCCCCCCCCCCAACAAACCCCAGTTATTTCAGAGTCTACTTGAGAAAACTGGAGATACAGGATGCAGTAAGCACAAATGCATTGCCATCCCACCCCTCCGGAGGGAAACGCAACAAGCCCCTGTTTAGCTGCACAAATAGGCAGGAGGACGGAATCTGGGGCAGCGCGGCAGCCCTTTGGAGGTAAGTAAGCTGATTTACTAAAAGGGAGGAGGTTAACACAGGTAAGACCTCCTGCAGAGGCCTTAGGAAACCCCAGGCCATAGGCAGTGGCATGGCCCGAGCTGGGCCCCGGAGCCGCCGGCCGCGGCCTGTGGGACAATCGGTGACTTGTTTGTACCCTCCGCTGCTATCCTTTGGAAATGCTAACTAGGTTATTCAGCGCCTCCTTTGATGTCCTGATAGGTGCTATTAGATAGTCAATTAGGCATCAACGAGATTGATTGTTTCGGAATAGCCGCTGCTCTGTTTGAAGTACCCGTGAACACTAACAGTGTCATCACCCAAGCGCTCCTTCGCCCGCGGGAACAACGCGGGCTGACACCCCATAAATAACAAATGCCGCTGACTCACCCAGCAGTGCTACACCCTCTTCCCTCCCGGCTCACGCGCTGCAAGCCCAGCTATTCCCATTCAGCAACTGTGGGACCAAACAAGCTCTTTGCATTGAAAAGTTTACCGGGCAAATCTCATTCAGTTCTTTGCGCAAGTAATGGCAAAAGCATTCCGGTAAGTTAAGTTAGCTCGAAACAAAATAGCACTTGAATTCCCATGCACGCCATTGCCAAATTGCCCGAGGACTTGTGACACCTTCACAGTTCTTCAGAATTGCCCAGGCCGAATAACTAAGCACTAAAATAAGAATTAAAGCACTTAACCTGCCTCAATACCAAAAGAGATGCCGGGATTAGCTCCCTACTACATACTATTAGGAGTTACCACTAAAGCGAGGCCTAGGAGTTTAGGAGACAACTATAAAGGAAAAGTAATAAAGGCTACACAAGGAACAAGTCGAGACCAAGAGATGTCTCCTTTTTTCTTCCTCTTCCCTCTACCCCTCCTTGGGGTTTATCAAGTTAATTGTCATCTAACTGCGTATCAAAGAAAGAGATAATGGGCAGCAATTAGATGTAATGGCCTGCCAGTGCAAGATCTCTCCCGATTAGCACACAACGCCAAATAACTTCACCTGGTTTGTAAAGAGGTCCTCGGAGTGGCTCCAGCGAGTCTGGGAGCTGCAGGGGGGGACACCCCGACACCCTTCACCCCCGTCGGTTGCTCTCGTCAAACCAGGATAGGGTCAGGCGGGGCCGGCTCCCCGCCGTTACCGTGATGCTAAGGCAGCCGCTCTATTCCATCCTCGTGCACGCACTGCGGGGTGCAAGGCTTTGAAGTTAGTGCTCCGGCAATTTTCCCTTCCCACCCCTTTTCCTCCCTGGGGAGCCCAGCTTCCAGGTTATACAGCCCCTTCCTCGAGAGCCGCCAGGCCGGGAGCTCCGGTAGTTTCACCGCACAAGCATTATGCTGCTCCTCTCCAATTAATGGACTCGGCTTTGCCCTGCTCCCCCCATTTTTAGCTGGCTTCCAGATACCGCTTTATCTTGTCGGAGAGTATTCCGGTACTGGTGGTTATTCTGCTGTTATTTAATAACTGGTGGTTATTTAATTGTGTTTATTACACCCGAAATTAAATGGGGGGGGGGGGAGGGGCTGCTAGAAGGGAAGAGGGCTCTCGACCACGCTGATGGAGCAGCCCGGGAACTACCTGCAGGGGCTAGCAGCGGGTGCGGTGCCCCAGCGGAGTCTCTTGGCTTCCCTGAGAGGGACTGCGAGTGTGCAGGGGTCCTGCGTTGCCACTATTGCTCCTTTATTGCTGCCGGCATTAAAACACAGTGGGGGAGAAGTTCAAACAAGCGGGAATACTACTTGAAGGGATATCTGATGGTTTGGGTTTCTTTTTCCCACATCAAAAAGAAAACTTGAAGCCGCTTTTGAGTAACATATCTGGACCGCTTTAGCAAAAATGAAATTATTTCATATACAGTTTTCTAGACCTATGGAATGTAGCAGTTATCTTCTAGAGAAAGCCAACTTTTGCACGAAGAAGAGGGATTAGCACGTAGGTATTCAGAGGAAGCTGTTACCTTTAGACTCAGACAAGTGAAAAATCACCTCCCTCATTCATTTGAGCAATTGTCGGGAAACTCAACAATATTTTCAAGCTAGCGCTACTAAAACACTGACAAGATATTTCGTGTGCTTGTTGAGCATTAAAGTTGCCAAGGAATCATTATGTTAAGTGATCATTAGCACCTTTACAAACAGATCCCGGCTTCTTCCTCGCCGGCCGTTCTGCAGCTCATACATCCGGAGACAAGACACCCATCAGCCCGCACCCCCCAGCAAGGCTGAGGGAAGCCGCGTACCGACACCCTGCCAGCAAAGCCCCCACCACCGAGATCCCCCAGTATCTGGTGCCACTCGGCCCCACAGCCCTGCTTGTACTGGCGTGGTTCCCACAATCCCGCGGGCCTAAATCATGGCAAAGACTGCATGTAGGACGTACTGTCCCAGCAGGCCTAATCGCCTCTTGCTTGCTGCAAACCTTTGCACCGAGGAGGAACAGCTTCCTCCACCCCTCCGAACATAGCTGGGGCTCAATGGAGCAGCACTCAGATGCTGGCAGACAGCTAGGCCGGCTCTGCGGTGCCCACCCGCTGAGTTAAGCCTGGCCCGACCCAGCAGCCGCGGAGAGCCCGACGATGCTTGCAGGGGAGCCGGCTAGGGGTTAGTAGCTGCGGAGGGTATACCCGGCAGAGGACGGGTAGAACACCTCAGGAGGTCTCATAACCACCGATAAGGTGTGCGCCTGACTCTCCCTTAGTATCACCTGCCCGTCATAAACCCTGTTCTATGGAAGCAGCTTCCCTGCACGGCTGGGGACCACTTTGTTCCCCCTCTCTCCTCCCGAGCCCTTTCATCTCTCTCTCACTTCTCCCGGGCCCAGCTGCGGTGGAGACCGTATCTTCCCCTACACCTTTCACCCGAACCCATTTGGGCCGGGAAGCTCCCGCAGTGCTGCGGGCAGCCCCGGGTCCGACCAGTCCCTCCGGAGGTTGATGTTCACACCCCACCCCCAGCTCCCGATTCCGCAGGCTCTGGCTTCTAACAGCAAGAAGGGCCATTGCTATTACTTTTGTACGGGGTGATGAAAACCGTTGGAGGGTGGGGTTCTCCTCTGTGGCCATACAAGATGATGAGGGGATCATCTCAACCACTATTCCCTTGAATACGGAATGGCCAAATTGAGCCTTGACTCACTCCCTTTCCCCCCTCCCCCTCCAATTTAAAAACTGGGTGCTTACGAACAGAAAGTATTTACCATTGCAAAGCTTTATGGAAACATTCCAGTTCCCTAATGACATTTGAACGAGTCAGAGAGAATTGTATTTTTTTTTTCTTGTAATCAATATAGCCGTTTAACAATACTTGACTTTAAGAAATAAGTCCCCACTAAATGGGGATTTTTATCTAGTGTCAACAAATTTCCTTAATCCCAAACTGCATCATTTTCCTGAAGAGGTTTCACCAAGATTGATAGCACCTGAGCCCTTATTAGTTTTCTGAAACTCTTGCATTAGAACTACATTAATTGTGCAATCGCGAGCAAATGCTAATATCTCCAAAGGCTAGAAAAATACACGCTTCTCAGAAAATCAAAGGCCACAGCTTTCAGTGGCACATAATGTTGCTTTTCATCAGGCAAGTGTACTCAAGTGGCAGATTGGCCCCTGCATACAAAAGAAAATAGGGGTGGTCAAAGATGACAGAGAACCTTCAGACCATTCATTACAGGAGCCCAGATTACAAGTGCGCCGGAAATACTTTAATAACCCCCAAGATCAACTCTAAAGTGATGGAAATTTTTATTGCTCTTTTCATGTTAGTTGACAGTTGACTTTCAAAGATTTATGGCAACTTACATCAGTCAAGGAACCTTTCTCAGAGCCCTTTCTCTAGCCTGAAATCAGGCTGTTTTGTTCTTGTTTCCTAGAGCTTTATTCAAATTTTAAAAGTGCATAGCACAATGGTAACATCTTTACTGCTGCCTGGTGAAAAAAAGCTTTGGAATGTTACATTTCTTTTGATCATCACCCTCATACCCTATTGGGTGCATTAGGTGGCATATCGGGATACTATTTTGTTGATAAGAAATTTCAAGGATGGTCATTTCCAAACCCTGTTTAGGCAAGAGGCCACTGCTAATCTACTGAGGCTGCACATGAAAGCGTGAAGATATATTTACATATTTATTTAGTAGGTAACATTTTACATCTTAAAATCACATTCTATATGTTACTTAAAGGGTTTCATCTGGACTATATCAAGTCCAGTATTCAGTATTAGTAACAGATGTCTCCAAATATTTGGTCAAAAGCACACCCATCATAGAAAATACAATCTTTGGATTAGCTGTCCTCTTTTAGAGGACAGTGGGAAATTCACGCTTTTTAGCACTCAGCCTCAGTAAATTGCAGGGGAGCAGAAAAGATCGATAATAAGGAATCTGTGCTTCCTTTAACAGTTATCTTTTAGGGCAGGATAAATAGCTCTATAATCACATCAAACCTGGAAAAAGTCTATTAAAAGATTTATATTAGTGTTTGTCCCACTTTTTTTCTATTTTACACAGTTGCCTATAAATGCTGGGACCTGAAGTCCACGATTCAAATTGTCCAGTATGCCTCTGTAAAGTATCTTGCACATTGCTGCATCGTAACTCCACCAGGCAGTTACAGATAGGTATCCGTAGTGCAAATCCTCCTTAGTCATAGTCTGTATCAAAGAGTCAGACACCCAGCAAGAAAGCTGTGGGGTCCCCGTACCCAACAAAGCAGGGTGCCGGCCAAAAGCCCACAGGCTGTGCACTGCTGAGTTCCGGGCTGGGTGTCGGGAGCCCCGCCAAAGTGAAGCCTCCGGAGGCAGCCTCTTGCCGGAACAGAGGAAGTGGCTGGGCCATGTACGTGAGCGGCAAAGATACAATGCTGCTCTGAGGTCCATAAGGGGGGCTACATAAAGACTCCGTCCTCAGCTCCTGCAACTGCCGCTTGAGTTTCATCCGGCGGTTCTGAAACCAGGTCTTGATCTGGGGGAACGGGGAGACAAGAAGAGAGGAGGTTACACCACGGCCAATGGCCAAGCAACGGCAGCTCATGCTGGTGCGCATGCTATTAGTGCCCAAGGCCCCCGCTCACCTGCACCTCCGAGAGCCGCATCCTGCGGGCCAGCTTGCGGCGTTCGGCCGCCCCCAGGTACTGCTGCTTCTGGAAGGAGCTCTCCAGGGTGCTGACCTGCTCGGCGCTGAAGGCAGTGCGCAGCCGCCGGCCGCCCTTGCCGCCGGCCTCCTCAGAGCTCGAGAGCTCGGGACTTCCCTCCGGCGGGGACTGCTCTGCTCCACACGGCCGCCCGCCTGCTGCTGAGGACAGACGAAAGGGAGAGAAAAGGGTCAGCCAGGCTGGGGAACCTCTCGGGTGCCACCCACCTCCTTCGCTTCAGGGCAACAGCTGCACAGTCGCGCCTTATCGGGGGATCCGGAGTGTGGGGGGTACCAGGCGCGTCCGTCCTTCTCCCATTGCAGGAGCACCAGGATATCGCCGAGGCCGCGGTTACCTGCAGCAAAGGGTGCTGCCAAACGCTGCCGGCTCCTGCCGCCTCTCCCGGCCCGCGGCCCGGCGGGCTGCTTCTTGCTCCCGTCACTCAAGCCGGGGCTGGACGCTGAAGCGGGCCGGTGGCCCGCGGAGGAGGGTTGGTGCGGGGAGTCCGCGGTGGTGCTCTTGAGCGCCTGGCTGCTCTGGGACAACCACTCCACAGAGAAAGGGGCCTTGGTCATCCTGCCTTGTTTCGGAGATGTAGGAGGGTGTCAAGGAGCACAGCTCCTCTTTTATACCACAAATCGCGGAGGAAAACGTTGTTTGTGTAAATACACATCAAAGGACCAGATAAGTATCATCTAATTGCTCTCAGTTCTCCCCCTCTCCCCCCCAACAAAAGATACCGTTCACACATTGCCACAGCTCGCGGAGGCCCGGCTCCGCCGTGTCTGCTCCTGGAGTTGTTCCTCAGCCGTCAGTGATTTACAGCTCTTGTTACATCCTATCCCGATGCAAATGGCATTTATGGAGCTGAGCAGCCTCAAACGGCGCTGGGGAATGCACCCCCAGGGGAGCGCACAGGGACCAGCATCCCCGGACGCTGCTGCTCCCTTCCTCTAGAGCTGGCTGTTTTATTCCTTTTAAAGCAGAAGATCCACTGTGTAAACGGATCTTCTTAAGCACGCTCCTGTCTGGGCTGAGCACTGTGTTCCCGAGACAGCCCGAGGCAGGCAAGTGGATAAACTCACTCATTGCATTCTCCAGGGTATCAGGTCATAAGCACCAGGCAGAGGGCAGGGGATTTGGAGAAGGCTGTGAAACAGAAAAAAGTAAAGGTAAAGGCTATTGAGTTGTACAAATTGTCTGGCTTCTGGCTGCTTAAATAAAGTATGTTTTCTGGACTAAAGTATCAGGGAAAAAAATAAAGAAAAAAAAGCAACTTTCTGCTTTAGAATTAACATCCTACTGACATTACAGAATTCACATCATATCTTCGTTCCAAATCTCTTGCAGCTGTGCAGGTTACACAGGTTTCTCTGCTATTTCACTCTCCCTGTCTTTCCTCTCATTGCCTTAGGCATGTCTTTCAGAAGTAGTCCCATTCTTCTTTGGGTTTTGTGTGCACCAGGAACACTTGGCTGCTGCAGTAATGTCAAAATGACAAAAGGTTCCTGGTGCTTTATAGGCAGTTTTCCACTGCAGAATAACCACGAATTCCCTCCCCTTTCCATCCTCCCATTCTGTGCAAGATCAGAGTGGAACCACTGCACCATTGATAACTCCTACCACAGTCTTGCTTGGTATCAGTCTGCCCCCAGAAATCACGACTGCATGCTTGATTTGTCTGTCCTTCCTGCCTTCTGCTTTACAACTGACCTCTACCACCTGCAAACAAAGTGCTCTACTGTCCCTTTACCCTGTGACTTGCTTGGTTATTCTGCCATTCATGCTGGATTTCTCAGTATTTGCTTTCTCTGCAATGACAACTATTATGACCATGCTTCTATCTATTTCTTAGACTGTCAGTGGGGTAGAAGCTTGAAGACTGAAGCCCTTCTACTTACTTTCTATCTAAATCTTTCAATGTATTCCATTTTAATATAATAAAATATATTTTTTCGTTATATTAACCCAGTAAAAAGGTTTTATTAAAACCCTTTTCTATCTTTTCCTAGAACCAACAGTTCAACTTACTGTCTGCTCAAAGTATGATACCCATTCACCCATCCATGCATCCATTCACTACATTAAAGAGTGTGATATCCAATTTCTTGAAACCTCATCCACTTATCCTTCCCAAGCATTTTCAGATCAGCAATGGGAAGTTTGGGAAGTTTACTTAATCAAACTGTATAAGATTGTTTTTAAGTTTTCTCTATTTTATAAATACCCCAATATACCAAGCAGAGGTTCTTAACTATTTTCATTAGGTGAATGTGAAGACTACCCTTGTCAAAAACCTGAGGAAATATTTTAAAATACTGGAAGTTCTGAGTGTTAGCCAGTTCTGGTGGCACCGTATTTCACAAACCAGACCAAACAGGCAGGAGACAGAGGGAGCGAAGACATACAGGGATCTGCTCTGTTAACTGAATTACTAAATGGTAAGTCCCCAGTCTCCTGCATTTAACATGTGGCCGAACAGCAGCCTCACTAGTCAGAAGTGGGAATACCGGTGCTGTTGCCTGCCTGCAGAATCCTGCAGTAAGGCAAAATGCCGTTCTTAAGGACTAAATTTCATGAACATCAGAAAAAGGAAGTGTATCTTTCCTGCAACCTTCTTTTGCAATTTATAGACTCTGATTACTTTAACAGCATTCTGCATCACAGATGGGGTAAGATCCCAAGGGAATACATACAACACCTGTGCCCAGAATTATTTTCATTCTTAGTCCATACATATATATGTATCTAAATAATATATGATACTTACATACTTATATATAACATATATTCTCATATATCTATATGCAATTATTAAAAAAGGTATAAAGGTCTATCTAATGATATCCAGCTTTATGTCAACAAATAAAAGGCACCTGACAAGCTGCTGGATAAGACAAAAAGAATATATGACATATGATGGTGCTTTAAAAAATAGAAAATCTTGGGTTTTAGCATCCACTGATACATCTACCACATGGTTTCTTTACAGGTTTTAAGACATTTTTGCCATCTGAGCTGCAAATTACATCTTTATCCACTGCTGGTTTATTAATTGCATTGCATTAAGGCAAATGTCACAGCCGAAAGATGGTGTCAAGTGTTGAGCTCTCAGAGATGCAAATTGATCATATTGTGACAAGGTTAACCCAGATCTCATTTCCATTATATATAAAATGTGTAAGTATCCTGGAAGTTGGCAGATGACTTCTGCATGTAATGACTACTATGATATTTAACAGCTGTTAGTTGAATTTTATCAACAATTCTTAAGCTGTCTCCTTTCTATTATTCCCTGTTTGAAAATTTCCTGCCAAACTATGATTCACAAATACGATGTTAAAAATCAAGTGATATTGTCAATGGGATGAAAACCTGCTCATGCTAAAGTCCTCAGGAATCTGTCAGATAGGACCTTTCATTCTGCTGCTACAAGGAGGAGGAAACAAAAGAGCTCAGGCATATCACCATGACTGCCACTTGAAGAAGTCTGAAGATCCATTTTTTTAAGAAAATGACAATACTTTATGCAGATGTTTGTACTATACACAGTTGCCCTCTCTGGGCAGTCAGCACCTTCCCCATGAAAATAAGGACCATCAGCTTCCTGAAGACCAAAGAAGACTGGGGATCATGATGTCAAATGCTAGGCCAGGCCATTCTGTGGGAGATCGTGTAGAAGGGAACATTTTAGCATCCAGGAGAATTAAAATGAGTTGAGATTTGTCACTTGACAAATCTTGTGAGCAGCAGCTGCATTCAAAGAGACCAAGAAGTGGCTTTACAGATGTTTAGCTGGGACAGGTAGGGTGGGAGTAAGATAAGGGTGCTTTTATGCAAAAGAGCTCAGCAGAAATGCGTACACCAGTGGTCTCAGGATGAGGAGGTTCTGCAGAACTAGCTCATCCTGTTTGGATGCCTTCTAGGCAGTTGATAACATAGAAATTTTGGGATAACAGTCCAACCTTTGAGAATTAATTGCTGCTCCACATCTTCCAGCCCAAAGGCCAGCTCTGCCCTAGTAAGCCAGCACACAGCCCTAGAGAGGGGAGGACTGTGCTCTGAGATATCCCCTTCCTGTTGAATTTTTGAAGGAGCTGAAGAGAAAGTAGCAGAGGACTGCCAAGTACCTTGTGTTCCCCACAGGTACTGGAGAAAAGTGCCACCACCTGGCCTTGCTGCAGTGGGCGTCTACAAGACCAAAGGAGGGGATCATCATTTTGTAACAGCAAGTGATCCTTTCTTGTAAAAGTTGAGGGCACTGTGAGACTAGAGAGAATGCGTGGTCCTTGGGAACAGGTAGGTGCTGATACAATTCAAAGAGCAAAAAGGGCAGTTTATGACAAGCAAGAGGATGCACATTCATCTGTGGACATGCAGATTTCCTGTGAAGGTCTGCCCACAGTGAAACAAAGGCTGCTATACTGTTCTATGGTCTTTGCCCTAGTATGTTTATCCAACCATTGTAATTTCTGAGAAATCACTCTTTAAGACTTAAAAGCATTAGAAATGGTCTCTAACCAATCTCTTTACTATCAATTATTATAATCTTTCCTCTTTGACAGAATAAGAACTACTTTTCCACAAGGAATGAAAAGACCATATGTGCAGAAATACCAGGAGGGCCTGGAATAAACAGAATTACAATGCATAGACAAAAATTAAATGGCTCATGATGCTTGGAATTGATCTAAATCAACAGAGCTCCCATGGCTTTTTACCATAAGGCTGTTATCAGGAACTAGGCAGAATAGGTGAAATGTTTTTAAAAGATATATGTTCTGCAGAGACATGGTGCAAATATTAAGAAAGAAAATGTGTCATGCTTTTTAACAGTTCTTTACCCAAATTTAAACTTATTAAAAAAAAATCAATATGAATCAGGATCACATTTAAAACATGTGCCACTATTAGTTGCAAGGAAGCAGCATGAAAAGGGGCTTAAGAAATCATTTTATTTTCTGAAGATAGGGATTGTCAGGTGCTCAAATATGCTTTAGAATCTTGGTTGTGTTAGATATATGAATTATCTAAGTATGAGATATACCTACAGAGAATAATGGGCATATGGAAATCCCATAAATGCCACTAGTTTTAGTAATTTTTTGAGATCACTTGGACTAACAGTCTAATGGATACTCCAAAATGTTACACTTTCATGCCCTTAAATCCTTTCAAAACATACTCCACGTTTTTGATCAATGCTTTTTTCTTTGTCAGTCTTTGCTGAAGGATAAATATTTCACAATGGTTACTTCGAAAGTTACATTTAACAACCTATTAAATATAAAACCAAGAATGCATTAAATCAGAAATGCTCCATTATTTTTACTTTTTGTTTTCCACAAACATATTCTAAAGAAATTTATCTATGACTAAAGCATTTATAATTCTTGAAAGTAACTTTTCACTTTCAACTATCATGGAATGAATTTTTTTTTTTAATTGTATTTTTTTTTCCCCTCTTGATTTTAGGGTTAGAATTTGAGCATGATGAGCCAGCAGGAGAATGAGCTATCACAGCTGGCAGCCCTGGCTCATCTATCACCCTCAGTGCCCATCCTAGCCTATGCTTTGAAATGCTTCGGTCCCAGCAGTGAAAATATTTTACAGCATCTTCCTTCCCTTGACTTATACTTAATATAAATCACACCTTTGTACTGCTCCAAACCCAGTCTGTTCAAATTAAATTGAAATAAATGTTACTTTTTTCTTTCCTTTTTTTTTTTTTTTTCAGTTCAAGGCTTTTCTCCATTTCATGTTTATAGTCATTCTTTCCTGTTTTCTGTATTCCTCACTATACACAGTTTCTTCCTTTCTTCCAGTCACTTCTACTAAGTATCCTGCAAACGTTACTTTGACGGGATGCAGAACTGTAGCAGCAGAGCACAAATGACACTGCCCATCTACCTTCACTGCATCCCAAAACAGGGAGCACAGACATGTCCCAACGTTCCCTCAGCATACCGATAAAAGAAAAGCTGGGCTATCGCAGATGAGGACAGGAATGTAGTTAGGTAAGATGCTTGACACTGCCCCTGTAATGTGTAATCCAATGTCTGTGTTTCCTCCCCAAGCAATGCAGCATACTTCATTTGAAAGGTTTTACACAAATGCGTTACACATTAACAGAAGGTACTTAAGATTTAAAATTATAAGGTTGTGTGCGCATGCAGTTCTCTAAAATATTAAAGGAAGCAGCTGAATGTAAACACGTGTTGGTTTTAAAAATTGGAATAATAAAAAATATCTC